CATTTGTATCAGTTCAACTAAACATGGGCATAGTAACAACATTTATTATTCTACATTTATACATTTTAGGCAACTAAGGCAAAAATATAATTAATTTAGAAAATCTTTTCAGGACCCCACCTTGATGTTTCAGGACCCCACTTTGGGTCCCGACCTCAACTTTGGGAACCACTGCTTTAATCCCATGGTTCTGATCAATCTGTGAATCGATATGTTTACTTGAGTTCAGCCGTCACTCTCAAGCTCCAGGTTCTTACTCTGAGGACGTCAGCAGCCAGCGAGCCTTTCCCTGGGCCCAGTTCTACCAGCTGCAGCTCTGTGGGTCGACCCGCCCCCATCCACTCGCTGAGGATCCACACGCCTACCAGCTGGAGGAGCAGAGACACACCGGTTATCCTGCTGAGAGAAACACCTGCTGAGGAAGAAAGGGGAGGAGTCTAACCTCTCCGAACACCTGGCTGATCTCAGGTGATGTGATGAAGTCTCCATCTGGTCCCAACATGTCCTTCTTCACATAATAACCCTGCAGCAGAACAGACCGGACCGAGCAGCAAAATCAAGACCAGGATCTGAGACTACGATCCAAACATCAGGTGATTGATTAGGTCTGTTCTGTAAGGGGGGTTGGTCCTGCAGGAAGTCTGCTGTTCTTTGGGGGGAACCAGAGAAAACCCACACAAGCACAAAACAAATGATAAACAACTCCGCTCAGAAAGACCCCAGGTCCAAACTGGGGATCGAACCCAGGACCTTGTTGCTGTGAGAAATGAGTGCTAACCACTGATCCACCGTGTTGTCCAGGTTGACCATTACAGAACAGGAACAGGAGTCTAGTGTCTGGACTCAGACCTGGACTCGGGTCACATACCGTCACAGGGTTGGTCAGAACCACCTTCATGTACTCGGCCACAGAAATCGGACCTGTTGCTTGGATTTTGGAGCTCAGGTGTTTCAGCAGGGACGGGCTGTCTGATGAAGACCTGCAGAATGTCCTGGACTGAGCTGGTCTCCATCGTCCTGTCAGAACCGAACACATCCAGACTTGTTTTCATTTTAAACCCGTTCCTCTGACAGCTCAGTTCAATAAAGCAGATTAAACTTTGACTCCTGCTGTTTTATCTAAGTATATAAATGATTTGCATTGAGCAGGATATAACGTGAAGCTGTAAGGTGGTTCGGTTCTGCTGACCCGGATGATGAAGGACATACCTGCAGCAGGTGACCTGACAGACTGAAGACAGAACCTGCAGATCCTCCTCATGCTCACAGACCACAGTTCGGTTCCGTCTCTGAGTTCATCACCAACAGAAATGAGAACAAACTGCGGTCAGACGGAGGCTGAAAGTCCACCTGACAAAAATGCAGATGTTCAAATGTTTGTTTAACTTTAAACACTCAAAAGCTACAACGATCTTCTAAAATGTAGCAAAATTGCTAACAGGAAATAGCAATTCTTCTACGGTTTAAATCAGAGCGACAGCGCCACCTGCTGGACGGAATTAAACAAGCCAGCGTCGATGAAATGATATAAATACAGTATACACTCCTGATCAAAATCTTAAGACCAGTCAAAAAAGTGCAAGAATTTGCATTTTGCACTATTGGATCTTAAGAAGGTTCTAAGTAGAGCTTCACAATGTTAAAAGAAGAAATCAGTGCAAGAGACAAGAACTTTTGAGCAGGGAATTTTCTGAAAACTGCATTTACACTCAAACATGATTTTTTTCAGCTGATCAAAAGTTTAAGACCATAGTCTTTAAAAGCCAAAATCTGTGCAAAAAATCTGGATTCTATGTCATTTTCTGTCAAGTCTTTACACTGACAAGACCTCCTGATGGCAAAAGTAAAAAAGCTCACTGACTTTGAACGTGGTAGGATTGTTGAGCTGCATAAGCAAGGCCTCTCACAACGTGCCATCGCTGCTGAAGTTGGACGCAGTAAGACAGTCATTTTGCATTTTTTAAATGATCCTGAGGGTTATGGAACAAAAAAGTCAAGTGGTAGACCCAAAAAAATGTCACCAGCTCTGAGCCGCAGGATCCGATTGGCTGTCCGTCAAGACACGGGACGATCCTCTACCCAAATTAAGGCCATTACTGGTGCTGACTGCAGCCCAATAACCATCAGACGGCATCTGTGAGAGAAGGGCTTCAGAAACAAAAAACGTCTTCAAAGTCCACGTCTTCTTCAACGCCACAAAATTGCCCGTTTGGACTTTGCAAGGGTGCCCCAAACATGGGACATTGAAAGGTGGAAGAAAGTTGTCTTCTCTGATGAGAAAAAATTTAACCTTGATGGTCCTGATGGCTTCCAACGTTACTGGCATGACAAGGAGATCCCACCTGAGATGTTTTCTACACGGCACAGTGGTGGGGGCGCCATCATGATTTGGGGTGTGTTTTCCTTCAATGGAACAATGGAGCTTCATGTTGTGTAGGGGCATCAAACAGCAGCTGGCTATGTGGAGATGTTGCAGCGGGCATCCCTCATGACTGAGGGCCCTCGTCTGTGTGGTAATGATTGGGTTTTTCAACAGGACAATGCTGCAGTTCACAATGACCGCCTGACAAAGGAGTTCTTCCAAGAGAATAACATCACTCTTTTGGACCATCCTGCATGTTCCCCGGATCTAAACCCAACTGAGAACATTTGGGGATGGATGGCAAGGGAAGTTTACAAAAATGGACATCAGTTCCAGACAGTGGATGGCCTTCGTGAAGCCATCTTCAACACTTGGAGCAACGTTCCCACTAGCCTCCTGGAAACACTGGCATCAAGCATGCCTAAACCATTGTTTGAAGTCATCAACAAGAATGGTGGAGCTACTCATTACTGAGTCCTTTTTTGACACTTTGATTTCTGTTTTGGGGGACTTTCGGGGTTTTTTGAGCTACGGACTTAAACTTTTGATCAGCTGAAAAAAATCATGTTTGAGTGTAAATGCAGTTTTCAGAAAATTCCCTGCTCTAAAGTTCTTGTCTCTTGCACTGATTTCTTCTTTTAACATTGTGAAGCTCTGCTTAGAACCTTCTTAAGATCCAATCGTGCAAAATGCAAATTCTTGCACTTTTTTGACTGGTCTTAAGATTTTGATCAGGAGTGTATATAAACAAATACGGTTGATAAATGTTTTTGTTGTAAATCAATGTCCCTAAAACTGTTTTATTAAATAATGTGATTTAATCCTGATGAACGTTTCTGTTCTTCCTGCAACTCTTCCTTTTGACAGAAAAAACTGCAAAGATGGAATTTGTTCAGCAGCATCAAGCACAGACCCGTAGTCTGCAAAGGACTTCTTCAGGTGTGTCTGGCCCCTGAACTACTGGCTTTAAGTAACTGCAGCTCTCTGAACAGCTGTATTAATGTCTCAAAATAAGCTGCTTTAAAGCCAGCAACAATACAGTACATCTCCCATAGTGCCTGTTGATTGTAGATGGGAATTCCTTGTTGGAAAGTGGGAGTTCAGAATCCAAGGATTATTAGCGTTAAACTTTAATATTTGTTTTCATTTATTCGGTCTTAGTACTTCTCAGTGTTTGACTTGTTAAAAAACTGTTTCTATGCAGAAAATACCAGGTAGAGCTCAGTGTTTTTAGGGTTCCTACAGTTTAAAGCAATTTAACTTTTTTAATTCCAAGTAAAATTAAATTCAAGATCAATTTTGTAATACAAATGATAAAAAATGTTTAAAACTGACAAAAACTCAAAGTCCTGCTAATAGAGACTAACGCAGACTAACGAGCAGATCTTACCTGAGGCAGGTGTCTAATTAGAGAAAGGAAATTGACTCGGTGTGTCCTTATCTTCTACCGCCAATTTGAGTGATGCCATATTTTTTCCCTGTACTTGGTCAATAAAAGTAACATTAACTGACTTCCACAATGTTTTCCCTTCATTTATTTGAGTGTTCCTGAAAGTCAACAAGCTGCACTTTGGAATGACATTATTGTTTCATGTTTTTGATCTGAGTTGTTTTACAAAATGAAATGTCTGAATGAGTGCTCATCAAAGACTGCTGATTCCATACTTTTTGCCAGGGGTTGAATTACAAAACATATTTCACACTGCTCAGATGAACAGTTGAGATATTTGCATGTGAAATAACAGAAGTTATGTCAAAGTGGAATGTCTGCATGTGATTTAAAATAATTACCTATTTTAACATTTAAGATGAATTACAATCATCCTATTCACAATGTATTAGCATTTTTAAGACTTCTGAAGGATTAAGGCCTTATTTTTGGATTGAATTCAGTCTTTTAAAACCTGCAGGAATCCTGGTTTCAGCTGTAGCAATGAGACGAGGAACGTGATGTTTTGTGTTTAATCAGTTTAACAAACACTGAAGTTAACTACAACTGGACCTTTGAGGGTCAACTTGTGGCCCTCGGTGAAATGAATCGGGACACCCCTGCCCTACCTGGGCCCCAGTATTGGCTGCAAAATGAGACGATCTAGTCTACAAGACCACTCTGCCTCATCACCATGGTGGTGTTTTATATCACGTCTTCAGTTGTTTTTCACAGAACTATTTAGTATTATTTTAAAAAAAACATACTACACGTAAATAAATTTGGGTTTAGCTCCAGTATCAGTTGTTTCTCATTGCAGTAAAACTTTCATCAGGTTAATCTTAAATTAAAAAACTAATTCTTTGGTCTGTGATGAAGCGCTGATCTTTGCTGTACAAACACAAGAACTGCCATGAATCCTGGGATACCGTCGGCTGTGTGAGACACACTGATCTGTTTTCAGGGTTTTGTCGGCTGGAGGAGTTGAACCTGTGAACTGGGACAGCCTGCAGCACGAGGCAGTGAGGTAAGCAGCTGAAACACACCGTACATCACCTGCACTGACAGACAGCCACTCATTTCAGTCAGGTGTGTTAAAGGTAAAACCTGCAGGACTGTGGGTCAGCAGGAACACTTCTTACATCCTCCTCCTCATTAAGAACCACCAGGAGACAGTCAACAACGTTTATTGTGTCCGGTACATTTACAGCTGGAACTCTGGGAACTCAAACACCACATCTTTTCCTGTCAGCTTCTTGTAGACTCCAGAGAAGGTCTCCACCTGAAACAACAGCACGTCAGCATGAGAACATCAGCAGGTTTCATTCACAACAAACTATCAAGAGTCAGAGAGAAGCTACAGTCCTGTCAGTACTGGAACAGTACTGGAACCAGTCAGACTCTGTGTTCACTGAACAGTGTTGAACTGGAGACAAGAGTTCACATCAGCTTTTATTTCCTGGTATTTACAACATCTGAACCCACCCATTCTTTAAGGACCACGTGACTGACAGGTGTTTGTTGACCAGGTGTTGCCTTCAAGGTTGATGGTTCAAACATTGAATAGATCTGCATAACTGGATTTTAACCGATAAAGGCTGTGTCCAAATTCAGGGGCTGGGTCCTCTGAAGCGGCTGCGCCCACGAGCGCCACCTTGAGGGCCTCAAAATAACAACAGTTTTTAACTTTGGGCCGCAGAGGGCCGTGGGACCGCGTTGATTTTGAATAAGGTGCAATACACTTTCTCACCACTAGTAGCGGTAGTGCACCACTCAGACGTTTAACAACTTTTTTAATATGTAGAAGAACCATAGAAACCTGCCGACCATGGGAACTTATTTTAAATGAAAAGTAGAAGCAAAAATTAAGGTAATCATCAAAAAAGCCAAACTTTGTCAATAATATGAAGTACAGCTTCTGGTTCTACCATGCAGTATTTTAAAAGTTCAAAACATTATCAAATACAGTTGCAAATACCGCTATATTTTAATTTGCACTTTATCAAATTATTTTTTGTAGTTTATTTTTTTTAAATAAAGAAAGTTTAAACTTGTCAAAAAGCTGTTGTTACTGTTAATGTTTGTCACCAATATGAACTGCAGCTTGTTTCCTCCATGCCAAAGTTTAAAAGGCTTTGTACTTTATCAAATTTAGTTTTAGTTTTTCTGTATTTGAACCATTTAAAACATTTTTAATTTATTTATCTTATGCCTACAATTTTAATTATTGAATTGTCTATTTTTGTTATTGTTTATGTTAAAAATATATATATTTGTGTCGATAAGCCTGAGTGGTCTGTTGACTGTTGTATTTGTTCACATAATTGTTGCGGGCAGTTTACAATATAAATAATTGTTTGTCATAATCATGTCTTGTGATTATTTGACAGGAGTTTTACTTTCAAACTCTAAGTGTATTTAATTTAGTTATAATGTAAATACAATAAAAATTAAACCAAGATTTAGAATAATTATCATTTTGATTCATATAGTTAATGTCTGACTGGGCCTCGGGCCACTTTATATTCAATAAATTGGGCCTTGAGGCCAAAAAGGTTAAGAACCCCTGCTCTGAAGGACCCGGCCTAACTGGTCTAGGTGGGCAGGGTCCTTTGTAGACCATGAAGACCGGAAAAAAGTGGCTGAACTTGGATTGTCTGGTCTCCTGTCCTTACCCCGGCATGTGTCCTGTCGCCTAGTGTGACAACGCTAAACAGAAGCAAAACTACATCAATGTAGCAAAATATTCATGTATTAGCATTAATATCAAACTAAATTATTTTAAAGGTAATATTTGAACTAATTAACCAGCTGTAGGTGCACAGTTATTTCTCTATCGCATAATATTAAAACATGTCGATACAAATGATAAAAGCATTAACACCAGATTTTTATTTAAATCTGTCCTTTCTCTTGCTTCATATATTACGAGCAGGAAAAAATCTCTAGCATTATGAGATATGGTGGACCGAGCAGATCCATCGTCCCTCAAATTGGTGAAAAAAGGACGATTTGTCGGATGCATCAGAGGAATCTGAATTTGAACAGCCTCCAGCTCGACACTGATGAAGTAGAGGACAAATCTGTCCTTCAGAGGACCCAGCCTATGAAACTGGACACAGCCAATGTAGGTTTTTCTTGTTATAGAGGATAAACATGAAGAGCAGAGAGCGGTTTGTGGGAGAAAAGCTGAGCAAAGAATTAAAATCAGAGAAAGCAGCTGAAACTAGATGTGACAGAAGCTGTGGTAAAGTCTGAACAGCATCACCATGAAGAATCAACAGTTTGGTGTTGATGGGCTGGAGGCAGTGAACAAGGGTTACACCACCAAATATCAAATATTTACTTTATGATTTGTTCCCTTATTTCTGCTCCCCTACAGACGCTGTGCTGTGATACAAACACTGATAAATCCTCTACATGTTCCAGGAAATAAAAGCTGACATTCACAGCTCGTCTCATCTTTGGATCTTAAACACAACACAAACAAAAACACTGAAATACTTTTACAGGACTGTAAGCCTGTGTCCTGCATGGTTTGTCTCCCCAGTCACGGTCCCAAAGGACTCTGGGAAGGTGTAGGAATATACAGGACGCTGGTCCTCACCAGCAGCAGCCGGGGACACAGCTTTCTGTCTGACATTGTGGAACGGGACTGTACGTCTCAGCTCAGAGCTACGCTCCCATACGCCACCAGGACAGAGCCAGGAGACATGTCTCCT